TTTGCAGCCGACGGGGATTTTGTTCAGCTGTAGGCTTCAGTCGTGTTCTGGGCGGCATTCATTTCGGCTTGGCTTGATGACGTTAGTTCTTCCTTGGCTGCTTTTGAGTTGTAGTGCCGCACTGCCACCGCCTGGCCGGATTGGCCCATTACAGGCTTCTTGATGCCAAAGAGGTCTTTTTTCCAGGCTTACGAGCTTACGAGCTGGACATTCCATTCACCGGCTAACACCTCCCCTACGGGGGTTTAGTGTGCCCACCCTCTCTAAGGAGTGGTACCCATTTTATCTACTCACCGAAGCTTTCGAACCGCTGGGTGGACGGCGAGCTGGGGACAAGGCTGGTAGCTCACACCAGCACGGGCTAGAACTGACAGCAACTCTGTTCAGTTCAGATGTTAACCAGAGGATAAATCCTCTGTGCCACCGCTCCCCTTCAATGCCACCGATCCATTCAGTGGCAGTACAAACAGTAGCAGTACATCCAAACCAGGGTGGATAAAATTATGGGTGACTGAATCAACAAAGACCAACCACCTATACATATATAATTAGATATTTAAAATTTCAAGCATATTTTTAAACAATTTTTTAAAAGTCATAGTCATATTAAATATCCCTCGCATCCATTCTCCAGCACATTTTCAAGGGAAACCTTTTAGCAAAACTTGAGTTTGGTTCAGAAAAAAACTGTTGTGCGAATGGTCTCCCCCCACCCCCAATCTCAGGAACAATCTTTATGTTATTACCTTGAAGCTACACACTTACCTGGTCAGCCAATGAAGTGGAGAGCATGCTCATTAGCTCTCTTTCAGCCGTGAGCCTCCACATCTGCTCCCATTTCATCTTGCGCAATTTGTCCAGAAGTAGCAGAATGACCCCTGGAATCAACAAAGCAGTGGAAAGAACAGGCAAGCGGCAATGAAAATGTGTTAAAGCAAGGACCTTCACGCACCAGTGCTGCGTGACAAGGGTTAAAACAAGAACTTTGTGTAAAAGGGGTATAGGAATTGTAAGGCATTACCAGCCCATCATTTTTGCTGAAAACAAAAAATCTAAATCTGTTCAAAAATATGAGACGTTTTTCAATCTAAAAACCTCACATACTGGATCCCCCCCACTTAGTAAGTGAGGGTTGGTAATCACCAAGATAACAGTGGATATTCCCCAGTGCTTCTGTGAGCCATGCTGGAATATGTGTATATGTGTACAACGTGACACTGTTTCTGCCTTTCCCATTATGAGCTGAATTGGAAGAGTTTTTGAGGGACGCCTTTTCTTCCCAGAGCATGAAATACACATGGGGGCAAATGGGAAAAAATTAGTTACATCTGCTGTGATGGACACTGCAATGGGAACAGAGTCAACACAGAAATTAGTGTGCAAAACAGGCTGCTTTGTATTCATTATAGCTGATTTGCCCCCACCCCTTAAGGTGTTCTATGTTTCTAAAAACAAAACTTGGGGGGAAAGGACTGGTGGATGAAGGTGATGAAGTACAAACACTGTGTCTGTTTTTAAGGAAGCCTTTCATATAGTGAGCTTATTCACAAAGAAACGCCAGTGGATGCAGATAAGAACCCCATTTGGGGGATGATAGCTGGCTGTTGGTTGCTAAATAAAAGAGTCGTGATAAACAGCAGCATATCATGTAGTTAGGAATTGTCTTATGGGATCAGTGATAGGCCTTCTTTCACTTAACATCCTCATTAGTGCAACTGGGGAAAATGTAGAGAATATTAATAACTTTTAACTTAGTTGGCCTAAAATTAACATGTCAGGGTAATAACCATGAAAGAACCCAGGAGTCGATGACATGCATTTACAGTGGGTGAAAAACTGAGGAGGGAGAGAAACCAGAGGGACTAACACTGCAATCCTAACCAGAGTTACACAGTTCTAAATCCACTGAAATCAATGGGTTTAGAAGGGCATAATTCTGAGGACTGCACTATGAAAGAGTTAGCAAACCCCCAAAAGAAAGAAATTATGAACTAAAGAATGACTTCCAATTAGAGCAGGGGTGTCAAACATAAGGCCCGGGGGCTGGAACCATCCTGTCCAGAGCTCTTATGTGGCCCGCGAGCAACTAGTGCAAGGGAGAAAACAGGAGACTGCTGTAGAGGAGTGGGCAGAGCCACTCCAATTGTGGCATCAGCATGGTGGAGCAACCTCGTCTGCAGCAGTCAAGCAGTATGGAGGCATCGGCCCAGTGTTGCACTGCTGGCTATCCACTCCACCCATGTGGGTTTCCTTTGCACCCCCATCCTAGCCCATGGGGTCTTGCACTGAAGATACACCAACCCGGGGCTTATCAGCTGCTGTCCTTTATACAGTTTATATCACTGGTACCTGTCTTTATGTTTTATGGCACACATGGCCCGCCCAACAAAGTGACATTTATGTCAGTTCTGGCCCTCATAACAAATGAGTTCAACACCTCTGAATCAGAGAGTAAAATGTTCTATGGAGGAATGTCATGTCACATCCCTGCTTATCAAATTACACTGGGCAGCAAAGCCCCAGAGATCTAGGAAATGTGAACTTTTCATTTGTGTATATTTTGGCTACGTATTTAGAAATAAACCTACATAGGGGGTATGAGACAGGGGAGAGGTGATCCAGCTCTGCCTATCTACCCTACCAACTTACTTAGGGATTCATTTGGAGCTGCAGGCACCAGAGAAATGACAGGGCACCAGTGTGCCTTGAATTGCTTTGCTGATTGCAGAATGTGCCCTAGCAACACATACACTCACCCCAGTGGCTAGTGAGGTTGACCAATCAGGAGAGAGCTTCAAAGGAGGTCTCTAGATAAAATGGCTGGCCAGGCCTTGGGTGCAGAAGAGAGCTTTGAGGGAGGGTTGTTGCTCCTCAGGTCTCTGCCCCACCTCAAGCATCTCTAGATTTTATAGCATATTCTTCTTTCTCTATGCCTTTGCTTTCCTGTCAGGGGAGTCTTGCCATGTATGGTCATCTTGGCACCCATTGGTTCAAATTCTGTGACTTGGTGGGGTAATCCTGACTCACAGAAGTTCTGGAGATCTGCCAACATGCACCTTTATAAATGGCTTCCCTTGCTCCCCAGTAGGGAGCTGACATTAGCCTCTTTCAACCACCAGGGTGGAGGTCACCTGGGGATCTTTCTGCTTGTGGTCTCTTTACTCCTGTTGTCTCAAGTCATCTCCTGACCTGGGTCCACAGTCCACATTCATGCTTTCATTCATTCTCTCACTCACCCGTTATCCACACCTGGACCTATACACGGGTTTATTTCTTAAGCTGCTTGTGCACTTTTATTTAATTGTGAATTTTTTTGCTCCCTCCCTTCAATTGTATTTTTAAACCATCCTCCCCTATGAAATAGGGCTCAGGGCAGTGTACATCAGAGAACCATTTACAAAGTCTACAGCTTTAAAACAATTCTTAATAGCATCTCCAGTTAAAAAAGATAACCTTTGACACGAAGGCAAAAGCCAACAGTTAGCCTAGGCTGTTAGTTACCCAAAACAGACATTTGCATGCTCTGTGGCTTTTGACCTGAGGGACATTTAAAACTTAATACATATTTAGCTGAAGCCTGTTAAAACAATGGGGTCCAAACTTCATGTCTCATCAGCAGACTTCCCAAGTACTTACCGTGATTCAGCGGGGGACACAGACATCCTCTCAGGACCGCACCATGCCATCACCAGGAAGGCAATGGGGCTGGAAAATCGATGGTAACATCGAGTTTTCAGTCCCATTGCCAGAGCGTCGCCCAGCGTCACTTCCTGGCAACGGCATGGTGTTGTACAGGGAGGAATGGTCCGGCCGGGGAGCATGTTTTCCCCGCCGGATCACAGTAAGTACTTGGGAACCCTGCTCATCAGGGACCTTACAAACCCATCTGTAAAGAACGTTGGCTCCCTCAAATTTTGCTCTGATTCGAAGTTTGGTTCAGGCTTCAGATGAAGCCTGTGTGTGAGTTAAACAGAGTTCAAAACTGCCTTGCTGAGAAAGAACACAGTGACCTTGTGAAGTGTAGATAAGGCAGCTGAAATGGGGAGTTGGGAAGCTTGGTACCATCTTCCCAGTTAGCTGCAATCCTTCCAATTAGGCCTTGGTTTGCACCTGTGGGAAAGGGGCTGAGCCTAGCTGCAGATTAGGTCTCTGCCTTCCTCCCAGGTCAGACCACTGCTTAGGTCACCTGTTCAGCCATTGGTCTACCACTCCGGCTATGTGTTATCACATAGTGCAAAGGCCTAGTACCATACGGGTCCCTTTACCCATAAAGAAGTAATATTCTAGTTTATTCTCAGCTTGATGATGGCTACCTGAGACCTCACCATGCAGATAACTTCTTCCTTACTTTCAGCTGTCTTAGATACTTGCTTGCATGGACCAAACAACTCTGGCCTGTGGTGACTTGGGAGTAGAGCCACTTTGGATCACTGGAACTACCATCTGAGAATGGGTAATATCTTGTAACTTGGAACCAATGTGTAACAGTTTTAGCTAGCCTTTAAATCTCTAGATTTCATATTTTTATCCTCATAAAAATAGCTTTTGTGGTTGTTTGCTTTCACAGTCCTCAATCTAAATCTAGCACATTGACTAGCAGACCACCTACCAGAGTAATTTGACTTTTATGAGAAACTCCTGTGAGCTAACCTCACAGGGTGGACTTTCTGATTGAGACCCAGGAAGGTCAGAAGCTTGCCCTTTGGCTTCTGACTACTGGGTTAATTAAAAGGGGCTGGTGACAGAGTACTGGACTGGTGTGTGAATAGTCACACCCCAGGGTTTTGTAATTTTGTGTTGCAGCCCTATAACAAAAGGTATTTGGTCTGGGCTGGGCTAAGTGACCTTTTGATGCCATCTCACTGCTAAATTATTTTGAATATGCTGTACTCTAGCATGGTTGAAACTTCCATGAGAGGAAAATATTTCTATGGTTTCAGCTTGGTAATACTTCAGTAATTGGAATTGCCTACTGAAAGAACTTCTGTAATAGGAAGTGCTAAAATCTATTTGAGTGACATTTTTACAATACTCAATCAGCCTTTAAAACATCCTAAACTTTCCACAGTATCATCTTTCCCTTTTTGGTATAAGAAGACATCAGGGAAAAAATGGTCTTGATGAAATTTTAGCCAAACTTTTTTTTTTCTAGTGGGCACAATGTATTTTTTAAAAAAGATCCAGTCAACATTTGAATGGAAAGAGAATGTTAATCCTGTCTGCAATTTGCATGTGGGGGGATGTGGGAGAAAGCCCATCTGTTTCAAAGAACACCACTGAAGAATGATGGAGCATGAGGAAAGGTCAGAGTAAAGTAGAATCTTCTCATTGCAGCAACAGATTAGGAAAAATAACTCTTCTGATTGTGGATTACCTGCTGATGGCAAGGACTCTCAGTTGGGTTATGAAAATAAAATATAGAGAAGAGCAATGGAACATGCATTGTTCACATTCTCAGATGTGTAAAATAGGTTTTATGCTTATTTTTAAATATCTATAGATCTGAAAAAAGCCTAATAAAGAATTTTAAAAGCATTTTTTTAAATTATATTTTCACTCTATCTTCCCTTTCGGCTCCCAGGCGGGCAGATTATAGTGTCATGACTGAAGAGATTAAGTGGTTATCAACAAAGACATCTGAGAAGCAGAGACTGGAAGAGGACTAAAAACAAAGGATGGGAAACGCAAAACTATAAATTACATGATCCAAGACTATCTAAAACCACTTCCGAATCCCCCCCCCACACACACACACAATGACATGGGGATGCATTTCTAACAGTTCTGAAAAGAATGCACAAGTGATTTGCACAGTTAATTCTTGGAAAGATTTGTTTTAAGACTGTCAGGCCATCCAGGGATTGCTTATCCACATATA